ATATAATTTTGTTTATTGAAGAAAACGCAACTCGGGTCGAAACGTTAAATTTGGTCTTATTGTAATATATTATTGTAATATATATTATATATTAAATATATATATATATATATATATATATATATTAAATATATTATTGTAATAATTATTGTAATATATAAATAGCATTATTACATTGTCTGGCTCTTAAATACTCTTATCTCTTTTTTCCTTTTATTTGATTTTATATCTTAGAGCCATTTCTTCTTTTTACTTTTAATTCACTTTATAAGAGTGAAAAATAACTCGATTAACTTGGTTGTCACTTCAATTTTTCAAGTGGTTTTCACTTTAACAAATTTAGATGGTACCTCTTTAGGAATGAATCATTAAAGTCAGAAAAAACAGATTTAATTTTCAAATTACATAAATATGACATTTATCGATCTTATAAAGATATCTTTTTTTTCTTTTAATCAAATTCTGTGGTTAATATTTAATTTACTGTAATTTGGTTGTCACTTTAATTTTTCAAGTGGTTTTCATTTTAATAAATTTAGATGGTACCTCTTTAGGAATAAATCATTAAAGTCAGAAGAAACAGATTTAATTTTCAAATTACATAAATATGACATTTATCGATTTTATAAAGATATCTTTTTTTTCTTTTAATAAAATTCTGTGGTTAATATTTAATTTACTGTAAAGTTGTATCTCTATGAACAATATTTGCATTAAACCAGAAAAACTGAACATATGTAAACGTTCACGTATGTGTTACTACCTCTGAAAGGATTAAGCACGAGTTTACAACTGACTGTTTGCCGTTGAAGCGCTCTCTCAAGCAGGGTTATTGTCTTTAATTCTCTCCGCCGCGTCTCCGCAAATTTAATGCGCGACTAAAAACACAGCCCCGTCCACTCTTCCGTCTTCGATGAAATATGAATATGAAATACGTGTTTGGTGCTTTTAACGATCCACTGGCTGCGCCTCAGCCTGTGCGATTCAACCGGGCGTAATCCTGAAAAGCTACTCCCGACTCGCGGAAATCGCGGTTGAAATACACCGCGAAGATTAATCCCGCGAATTATTATGCCAGCGTGTATCGCGCTACGGACGGTAGCGTGAATTTTAGCGCGGAATTTTAGACTATTCGTTTGCACCCGCAGCTCGTAAGACGCCAACTCGATCGCGTCGCGATGAAATAAATATCGTTAACCGGAAAATGTGCTTCGCGTCGATCGTCGATCGCTTCCAATTCGATAGTTCCGACTGCAACGGCCGGAGGACGATGCGCTTCGCGTAATACGACGATGTAATTATTGAGCATCGTGAGAGCGACCTGCTGATAACCGCCAGCGCTTTAATTTTTATCGAAGTGTAAGCTTCGAGATGCTCCGCGCACAAAATTACATTTCTACGTACATCACGAAATCCAAAAAGGCAACTGCATCTCCCCGATTTATTCGACGGTAAAAAGAAAATATTTTACGATCAAGCGTACCAAAGAACACCATAATGATATTATATACAGTAAAAAATAATCATTACACCTATAGAAAAATATATACTACATTCAAGCGAATGCTGCTTGTTTCAAGTATTTCATAAGTTTGTATGTACGGAAATTTATCATAAGCTCATTGCTGCAGATAGAAAATACATTTTGAATTCTAGTAAGTTTAGCATTTCAATAAAAAATATGAAACTCGACTTGCTTACTACACAAAGTTAAACTAACTTTTTCTTTAATAAAGTTTTGTAATATTTTTATAAAGAGAATAAATTATTCTCTTAAGTACATGGTAATGAATCTTTCTAAAATTTGTAATTACATTTTAATTACATTTGTAATTACATTTTACTATTATTATCAAGAAAATATTCTTTGTCGAAGATAATCATTACTTAAAGGAAGGAAAGTAAATAATCGCTTTTTTTAGCAGTGTAGAATAATACTTTTCTTTGTAGAACTTTTCAACATTGATGTCGATTGCATAGTATGCGTTCCTTGAGAATACACTATAAGTTATCAAGGTAACAAATCCGATGGTCTGGCTTTATGCTCGAGCGATATCGTCCGAAATCACGACTCACGAAACTCATAGAATGCGCATAAATCAAATTGAAACGAGAGGTCCGCCACGGATCGTTGCACTTTGTGACACGCAGTTGGCTCGTTAAGAAATCGTTAGTGTCGGTAGCTGCAAAACTGCGAGAGCACGGCAAACACGTGATCTCTCCGTATCTTCTGGACGATCTTAATCGTCGGGCTATTTTTGCGACGTCTGTTCTGCGATATTGTAGTAATCGTTACGCTGCTAATTCTATTTCTGTACGTTCAACTCGATCCAACGCGCGACGCCTGTAAAATACACGAGAAATGAAATCCACAGAAAATTGAGATAATTTCATTATCTGGTTAGAATGTAAGTGTAATCCAAGTGATTATTATCGTAACGCGATCATGGGAGTAATTATTGGAATAATAACGAAGTGATTATTTAACTGTCGAGATCGTTTTTATCACAATCGTTCCCGTGCCGCGATAATCGTGTCACATTTTGCTTAATGACTTCAACGCGATCCGAATGCAGCGTGCTAATCTTTCATAATTCATTTATCGAGACTTGCAAGATTCTCTCATTCCTGTAACTACAGCAGAGAAGACTGCGATGTAGATAAAGGCGGAATACACATTAAGTACTGTATCGACACGTTATTGAATTGACATGGAAACACCTGGATCCACAGGTTTCTAGATAGCTGTCAGGATTTTCGCGGTGGCTGATCGGAAACGTGTATGACGTTACCAGTTCCGCGACGAAAGGCGAGTAAGTGTCGCGCCGTACAAAAATACCCGATGATATAACTAATTCCTTCTACCGTCTTCGCGACGATCAATTTGCGTGTGACATATCAACGTCTTGCGCGACACACAGGGTGACTATCGTCGTTCGAGTTGCCTTAACGGCAGATTAATGAATTTCTCGGTGCGCGAATTTGGAATCGATAGCAAGAAAAAGCTGCTTACTCGTAATAGCGCTCTTCTAAATTAATCCTCGTGATTACGTTAACTCAAGTTAGAATCTGCTAAAGTAAAAATGAAATTATTGGTATATTTACATAGGAAATGCTCCAGATTTTGGAACTAGCCAAATTAACATTGCAAAAGAATTTAGTCTAAATACGGCAAGTAGGCTAAATACGGCAAATAGTAACCAGTGAACAACGCGGTTTATATTTAGATTATCCTATAAATAATATAGATTTTTATGTTGTAAATTTAAGTGAAAGAAAATAGTAAATCAGCTTCACTAGGACTACAACTTGTTAATATGAGTATTAAGTACACTCTATAATCATGTGTGCAATATTTATATCATTTTCCTATTTTCATTCTAACACTCATAATGATCTACATAATTACTTAATTGCTGTACGGAAAAAAATATACCTTCTTTCATAGAAATTTTTTTTTAATTTTACTATGATTTTTGGTACAAGAATATATTGTCAATAAAGTTTATTTTGCTAAAAAACATTGTAAATTTTTTAATAGTAAATTTTCAGGTTTTAGAATATAACACATATAAAACGGAGGAGTAATAATTTAAAACAGAATATATTTCTTGGTTAAAAAATTCTGTAGTAAATTTTACTACGAAATTCTCTTTATGTTGGCTGCTAAATTGTAGGATGACCCAAATATGAATTTTTTAGAGCAAAAATGTTGCGAAACGTTGCCTCTAGCTATTCAAAGGCCGTTAAATTGAATGATCTTTCGATCAATCGTCAATCTAAACAATTCGACGCCGGATTGCGATAATCGAGTCTGTTACATCGAGACACAACAACGAAATCCCCATCTTATGCGTGATCCCGTCGCGTTTACCGAAATATGATGAACGAGCCGGCGTAATTAGTCACACCGACAGGAGTGCAACATCGATTTCCCGCGGGAGGGGGACGCATGTTACGCTCTCATCAGGGTGAATCTCGATGGCGCAGGCGGCTGCAGAAGAGTACAAGCGCGCGAGGTGGTATCCCGTCCTAAGATAGATGGACGCGCAAGTATGCCGTAGTTGCGCGTCAAACGCTCGAGGATTTATGTGCGCGTAATAGAGTTTGGATACCCTCGCGCTCATCACATGCGCTTCATTCAGCGGTAATTAAGACGATAAAGCGGGCCGGTGTACGCGCAGTTAACCGCGAGTTTAACGTGTCGGTCAAAAGTCTATTCATAACGGAGCGTTGCTACACGCCGCAGGAAATTAGACACACCGGATCCTTTCCGTGCCTTACGAACGCCGAGACCCGTCTCTCGACGTGGAAAACAAACGTCGCCGTATAAATTTTAATTCGCTGTATCCTTTCCCGCAAGTGGTCGTGCTTGTGTCCGGCTTTTTGTTCATCCAACGGCGAGCCGATTTCTTCTTTTTTTTTCGTCCGACGGGATTTGTGGAAATGGCTGACAAACCGGCGCGCGGTTTCGTGCAGATTTCGGTCGTTTATCAAGTTTTCGGTGCAGCTCTAACAGCGGACGCCAACTATTTTCGAAGCCCGCAGCCCAATTTACCGTTAACCCAAGGGGGCCATTACCAGCCACTCGAACTAGGAATAGTGATCAAAGTTTAATTGCGCCCTTATCGTAAAGTTGTACCTACTAACAAAGTCTACCTTGGCCGCGAGAAGCGCTGATGACGAACTATTTACTTCATTGAAGCGTTAATACCTCGAATCTGTTAACCGACTCGAGTGTCCGCGTAGCAGAGTGAGCTTCTCTGAGTACATTTTGAAATGAGAGTAATGAGGCTGACAAACGACATGAGGAAAGATCTTTCTTCTTCAGCATAGAAATTCCATCTCAGAGATCGAATGATAATTCATATTTTTGTACATACCGGTTCTCCACGACGACGCATAACTCTGTGCATTTTATTTATCGGTGTAAATTTGTTCAAATTAATAAATTGGAGACTGATATAGGAGGAATTGTCATATTCTGAGAAGAAATAATATAAGATCACATTAACCGTTTATTGGTCCTGTATGGTGAGTTACATATATTTAAATGAATATTAAGGTAAAAGTTTGGGCTGAAAATAGTAGATACAATTTCGACAATCGTTAATAATAAAGCTTACAGACTAATCAAAGTTGCAGATCGCGTATAACAAAACGACCGTATTATTTTCTTCGAATGGAAAACATCGCACTATATTAATTCGGAGGTCTCTTTCCCAAAAGGATCACATCCGCGTCCAGCTTTTTATTTGTCCATCGAATGTCTTCTTTTTCAGCAAAATAATTTGTAAAAATGCGTCGTGATATTTCGACAAGATCGGTATTTACGTAAAAATCGTGAAAACTCGCCGACTTATTCTATGTATGGATTATACATTCTTTTTTACTAGGAATTATGAGCAGTATTTTTCTCTCTTGATATTGCAAATATATTGCTATAGTTTATTTAAAAAATAACATTATTTAATATGAATTTTATCATATTAATACAAATGAAACTTATATTATTTATTTTACACAACATATCGCGTGAAATGGATACATTTGATTACATAGTTTTTAATTCCGTCTTCTTGTAACGTCATATAAACAATCGTATGCATATATGAAAAAGAATATATATCTAATATGCAATGATGAGATTTCTGAGTACATAGCACTCGAAAATATCGTGCACAGCGTCACATGATGAATTTAGTAATTGTTATACGTCTCGCAGTAATAATTCAATTAGGCAACGATATTCCCGCGAGGAACGAAATAATATGTAAAAATATCACATCGATATCAAATCGACATCATATCAACATATACTTATGATCAACATCTTTTTCCTACATCTCTCGCGTTCATTTCACTCGTTTCTGTTGTCTTTGGCGATAAATGTCGTTCGCAGGTGGAGGTGGTAAATCTTCCTCCTCGCTGTCATCGCCACCTAAACGGGTACGTCTACGCTTCGTTCCGCCGCTCATGCCGTCGTTACTCTCGTCTACGATCCAATGCACGGATTTCGCGAGGTCGAATAGCTTCGTGTCGCAACCGTTATCCGCCACAGGTAACGGAGCTGTAATCAATTTCATCGATAGTATAATATATGTCTTTAAAGTCTCTGAAAAGTATCTAATAGTCTTTGAAAAGGAATCGAAATTATACATATTTGAGTATTATTTTATTACCATGGTCGGGTAATTGGATTCTACTAAAAACATCTATAAGTAAATCAACGGCGACAAACGGGCCTCTGAAACAACCGGGGGGCGGCAACATAGTGCACAATTGAGCCGCAGCCGGTGGTAATGGAAATGAACCGCCTATAATATAATAACAAATATGATATATAAATTTTCCGCGTCGGCTATATTTGTTAAATAAACGAAGATACATATGCAAATACCTACCTTGTACTGGATGTTCACCAGGCAGGGCGTTTACTTTTGGTTTGTACGGAATCATTTGTGATAAATCGGGCCTTGGCAAAGACGCGATCGCTTCTTCCGGATCAGGTACACGGGGCAAAGCTCCTATAGAGTTTCTGGCAACGTTAGACACTTCCATATAACCAATCGACCTCAGTTCCATAGGCGTGCATGGATATAGATCTAAGAATTTATATCTGTCTACCAACTGTGCAGTCTCTTTGCCTTCGAATTCCTTGATCTAATAGATGAAAAGAGAGCAATAATTGAAATGTGAGTAATTAAATTGTTTGTCGTTTCTCGTAAAACAACAGACTGATAATAACCTTTTCTAACACTGCGCTTCGTCTCTTCTCGACTTTCACGATACTGGCTAGATCTCCGATGTTAGATTCGAATTCCAGAAAACGATTCCATATGTCCCTGTAAGAGATGTGTATTTTTATAACAATAAAAATACGTAACAATAAAAATACGTTCGTTTATTTGTAACAGACAAAAGTACAGTAGGATAAAGCAAAAAGTTTCGATATTCTATATACGTACACTGATTTTTCCGGCTCTAAACTACCAGAAGATAATACTCGCTCAAATAGGACTCTCGTGTTGTTATCCTCTGCAATATAATACATTTTATTAATAACAACGTTTAAAAAGTTTAGCATATAACTTCACGTGTAGCAAATTACTTACCGTTTAGATGTGATAAGTAATCGATGTAACAGAGGATATAATCAGGATTATCTCCGAATTTCTTTAAACCTAACTCGAAAATACGGAATGCTATATTTTTGTCTTTAGTGCAGTAATATTCCATCAAGGCGGCAGCAACGTAAACGTGATGCTTGCATCTTGCGTCTTCTCGCGCTCGTTTGAACACCGTCCTCGCGGACTTTATACCTTCCGCTCTTCTCGCGAATTTCATATACTGTACGTACGCCTGTATAGATAGAGAGCAAATATTTTAGCACGTTCCTCAGCATCGTGATCAGATACTATACAAATATACGAACCAGAGTAGGATCTATGTCGAGTATATCGAGGAATTTCTGATAGATCTGATGCACCTTCTCGTACTTAACTCTGCCCTCTTCGAAATCCGCGTGAGCGAAGTACAGCAACATATTCTTCGACAACAGCGTGTTCGTAGCTCTCTCGAACATGGTAGCGGCCTCGTCGCTGAGATTCTTAGCCGCGTTTACATCCCCCTTTTCCGTCAGTATCTTGGAACTTAGTTCTAAAAAGTGCGCAGCCTGATGCCACACCGCGGGATGATGACCCAAACAGAGAAGACACTGTTCGATCGCGAACATAACTCTGCGCGCAACGAGCGAAGTATCTTCTGTTCTGAGAGGATTACTACGCTCCCACGCGATGTATTTCTTCCATAACTCGACCTACATGAGAGAGTATCGCGCGTAAGTTGATAAAGGACAAAAAGAAAGACGTCAAATCGCGGAAAAGGAAAAAAGTACCTGCTTTACTTCCTCAGGATGACCAGTTGGAGGGATACTGGGTGCGCTTCGATTCAGTCCTCTTGTGACAGCTTCCAATTCTTTGGCGACGCGTCTAGCGTTCATGTAGTCCCGTGATCTCTCGATCGCCATCTTTTCCGCGATTATTGGGTTGATGTTCTGTTCAAACGACATGTAGTCTTTCCACAGCTGCTCCATGTTTATCATGGGGTTGATCACACCTCGTTGATAGACCTACGACACGATCATTATCACAGTTGCAATCAGATTGTTCGGAAGCCGTTGAATTTATCACATCAGTTATAGACTGCTCGAAAATATTTATATGAAACATGTTACCTTTCGCACGGCACTAATTTTCTGATTCTCAGCATATGATCCAACCGCGTCCACGCTCTTCAGAAACATTACGTAATCGTTCCAAATGCTATAGGAGTGTATGTCCATTCCGATTTTATCTAATGCAAAGTCGTAAGCTTGTGCCATTTTTTCTCTAGAAAAATATCGCGATTAATCTCTCTTCCTTTTTTGTCTTATGAACAAATATTTGATTTCATAAAACAAGTAAGCAATTTCTAGACTATCATTCATAACACTTTCGACAAAATGAAAAGAAAGAAATATAAAGTTTACATGCTTACACTTCATACAATTTATATATTTCTAAAAAAGCACTTCTTTATACTTACTTATAAGTAGTTAGACTCGCTTTTGTTTCTTTGACATAAGAAAGGTACAGTTTCCACAATTCAATATTTAATATTTTCATGAGGCACCTTTGGAAAAGCTGTCAGACAAAACAGACATTTTAGAAATGTATTATAGCAGTTAATGGTAAAAAAAATACACTGAAAATATTAAAATTCATCTTAGTATGGTCCCAGAGGAAGATATATATGCATATATATCTACCAAGTTACTTACCCATACAGGCAAGTTTTACTTATACACATATTTAAACATTATATTTACATGAGCCACGGGATATATCATACATTGGAATATTGTCAGAAATATATGTGTTAACAGGCAGAATTTATTAAGCAAATTACAGTCACCATCGTTTACAATCGTAACAATTGTTACCATCGTAACAATAATGTTTCTACGTATAAATTGGGATAAATAATAATGCACCAATGCATCAATTATGAATAGTTTATTGCATAAACATGTGAATTTTTTAATAGTATCAATAATGAATGAAATATTCTTTATGCGTTTTATATAATAATAATAATAATACTATATGTGCCGTGTTATAGTCTAACACACACACGGAGTAGCCCCACAAAATGAAAAATTTATTTATTTTCTGCATGTGGGGCCGATTATAAAAAAAAATGAACCTATGCGGGATCCGGAAATGAGTGATCCCAAGACATTATAAAAAAATGAAGACAATATGAAGCAGCATAAGGTGATGCATCAATAATACAACAGATCAGAATGTATAAACATGAAAAATGTATCTTTTCTGAGACTACTAAATTACTTTATCACTTTATGCTACCTCTAGAAGCGTTCACAATATTTGAGCTTTCATGAGATCTGAATTGTCTCAAATATTGTTCAGAGGGAAGGTGAATAGTGGAACCTTTTGTACTCATAATTAAATGAAATTTCGTCATAAGACATACACTCCTCCAAGTCTTGTGACTCAATCTGTTTTAGGACTTTATATTCACATAATGCAATTGTTCCTGTTTACAAATTCAACCTTCTTCGCGGTAACGTTCGTAAAACGATATCGACTTACGATAAAACGCGTCCTACACGAAAACAAAAGTATATACTGCAGGAAGGAATATAAGGCTATTATATTCAGAAAGTTGCCTTCTTCAGCTTTGCTTCGCTATGTTAACAGTGCACTTTGAAAAAGCGAATCTTATAGCAAATAACGCAAAAGAAAATCGCTCGCCAAAGAAAACAACCTCCCGAACATATCAACAGATCAGTTATTAATCAATGAAATAATTGGCTTGTGGTGAAATAGTCTTTTTATTCACCTCATATAATATGCAAAGTGCTTAAAGTCACATTGTATGATAATATTCGGACATTGTGTGTTAGTAATACCCTAAAGTTCTAGCCTGTTACACTACAGCGACAGAACAAAACACCCATTCTTGTGGAGACAGCGTTTAAATTGGGAACGTTAACTTTATAACAAAGTAAAAAAACCCGCGTGCTAAAGTCCTTAAAATCGATTAAAATATAATGGAAATTGCAAAAAATCCATCTCTCACATCCACCGATACAAAATTCAGTGACTTTAATTGCAATGCAAAAAGTAGACTTCATTGTGAGATGTTAACTCATAAAGTACTTCATTGTGGGTTTATCTAGCTGTTCAAACTGAATTTTCTGTGTGCCATTCTTTTGGGGACATGTATGCACACAGAGCTAATTTAATTAATAACATATAAATATACATAACCTATATACACTAAATTTGCAAATTCATAGAATTTATGTTAACATACCTTTTCCACCTTTTCAAAGTTCCGCATTTTCATCTGGAAAAATAAGGAATACAGATTAAAATACAACCATGAATCTCAATATTTTTCTTGTAACAAAAAGATGCAAGAATATTCCTAGTCTTTTTGTTATATGAAGTTGGAACATCAGTGAGAAAATTTCTGTCGTTACTTTCAAAGTCAACACAACTAATCATTACCTCTTGTTCTATGTAAATTTTCCAATAACGACCAGCCGATGGAAACACGGAAACAAGTTTCTCGAATACTGGCCTCACTTCTGTGATAGGTCTGTTCTGTGCTTCTCTGATAAGAATACTCCATGCTTCCAAGTCGTACGATGATTTGTCGACGGTCTTCTGAGCACGTTGCAATTTCTCGTTCCCCCAATCCTATAAAAAAAAATTTCAACATGTATTACATTCACACGTAGTATGTTGATCCTTTTAGAGTTTTATGCCACATAATCGTCACCAAACGAACTCTATGATAAGGTTAGGGTTAGGTGTGTTTCTCTCTCTCTAACTTGTTCAGGAATCTATCAAGGTCTAGCCCTTAATACTATTTCCACCGATGGGTCTGTTTTCTATTGCTGCACTGCTGAACTGGTGCAATAAGTTGGAGTGAGAAAATATATGGTTGTCTCACTTCAACTTATTGCACCAGTTCGTAGTGCAGCAACAGAAAACAGACCCGATATATTATATTAATTTAGCAATGCTAGTTCCGAGTTATTCGATAGGCAAAGATGTTCTGTGAAAATAGTTTTAACGTATTTTCCAAAAAAATCACAACATCAGGTCTAAACAGGTTCGAACACGTCTTCACGGCAGCTAGACCGGAACTCTGAATTATGGTTGGATGGTTGGGCGGATCAAGAAATTGGAAGGTGTAAATACTTACGAATTCTGTTTTGTCCTCTGCCATTTTATATCTTAATCGTGATCGATGATGTACAATTTAATCACGCGTGAAAAAAGAATGACCCGCTCTTGAGTATTCACTGCACAAGATCGCTTCCAAATGTGTCCGAAGAATGGCTGAAAATGGCTTCTACGTGCGCGTAGCGACAACACATCGCATGCAACTGTACTTTTTAAAACCACTATGCTACACTTTCTGCACTCCAAGTGAGATAAATATTGGTCTGTTCTTTTTAGCTGCGCTGCTGAACTAGTGCAATAAATTAAAATGAAACAAGTATATTTTTTCTCACTTTAGCTTATTGCACTAGTTCAGCAGTGCAGCTAAGAAGAACACACATTATTGGTCTGTTCTTTTCAGCTGTACTGCTGAACTGATGTAATAAGTTAGAGTGAGAAAACATATACTTATCTCATTTTAATTTATTGCATCAGTTCAGCAGCGCAGCTAAAAAGAACAGACCACATATCTCGAGGTATGACGACAGAAGAGAAGAATAGAAAGGACGTGCAGAAAGTGCAGTCGAAAAGAATAGTTTATGTTATTATAGAATTATAGAATTTATAGAATTTCAGCACTGGCAGTGAATTTCGGAACACAGTCTATAACTGTAAGAAGTAAGAATAAGAAATTGACCAATCACAGTCGATTATTCTTCTCACATTTGAATGTGATTGGTCAATTTCTTAGGGATATTGCACATAGAAAAATTTAAACTGTAACCGTAAAATCGTAAGAAAACTGACCAATTCTCCTTTCGAGGAATAATCAACTCTGATTGGTCAGAGAGTTTTCTTACGTTCTTATGCACACAGGATGCGGTAATGCTTGCCGCGCGGCGGAAGTCCACGCGACAACCAATCAATATGTTGTTTTTCCGTAAGAGCTAGAAGGTTATTATGGAAAGCAGCATATTGATTGACTGTCGCGCGAACTTCCGCCGCGCGGCAAGTATTACCGCGTCCTGTGTGCAGGAGCCATTACGGTTATGGTTAAAATTTTTCTACGCACAAAAACTCTTGTTCTTTTTACATCCATACTTTACTTGAAGACGGTTCTTTATATGGTAACTTTAATTACCATGTTAGTAGTGAGTGAGTTCTTGCATTCGATTGGTACATTTTTTTAGGTTTTAAAGTAAACTCCAATTAAATGCAACAGTTTACTTGATCTATTCTTTTAAGCTGCATTGTTGCAATAAGTTAAAGTAAGGTAAAATATATTTGCCCCACTCTAACTATTGCATCAGTGTAGCAGTACAGTTAAAAAAAATAAACTTATTATGGTTGTTACTAAACCAGATTAACGTTGCCGTATAATAGGAATCTTTACTTTATTTCATCCTTATATTTTGTTATTTTCTCTTTCTCTTTCTTCAATATATATGTGTAGCTGTCCCAGGTACAGAAAGTATAGCTAAAACCAGAGAAGTATGAGAGCGGCCACCAGCCTGATTTCAATGGCCAGAGCTAGGTGCATTTTCGAGACGCCATCTAACAAAGTGCACCTTTACTACTTTCGTTAGGCGCATTTTCGCGGTGGTAACGATAAAATACGTCTGGTTCGTGCCCGTTGTACTTCCGTACAATGATAGTAAGTTAGAAAAGGACAAACGTCCAATCGCTCTATTCTTGTCTCACCACTGATTAGCGGACCGCGCGACGTAGGCACGAAGCAAACTAGCAGCGAACTTATCGCACAAAACTAGATCTAACAAAATCCTCTATAAAAAACCTAACAAAAACCATAATTAAAAACCTCCATAAATGGTTGTGTAAAAAAGCAACTTAACAAAACATTTTTACCCAAAAAATTATGAAAATAAAACTCAATTAAAATATATGAAATCAGTAAAATGATCCAAGTATATGATTCATTATTATAAAATTACAATAGATTATAACTAATGATCCATTATTACCAAATTACAATAGATATAACTAATACAAAAGATTAATATATAAAAATCAAACTCATTAAAAAAAACTAAAAAAAAACATTTTTATACATAATAACCAGAGTAAAGTACAAAAACTTAACGTGCTCGAATCGTATTAAAACAAGCATACATGCGTCCTTTCTTCTCCCACCCCACAAACACATTTTAAATTTTTACAGTGAAAACTGATATTCCAAATACGATCTGGGCACGCCAGGTTTTTGTACTTTACTCTGATTATTATATATAAAAATGTTTTTTTAAGTTTTTTGTTATGAGTTTGTTATATGAGTTTGATTTTTATATATTGGTTTTTTGTATCAGTTATATCTATTATAATTTAGTAAAGGCATTTATGAATCCTAGTGTACTAATTTTATGTATATATAGATATACAGGGTGAGTCATTTTAGTCTATGGATCCGAATATCTTCCAAATTACGGTATCTACAAAAAAATGGTTTAGATAAAAGTTGACCAGGACAGAGGGGGTCATTCAATTGTACCATTGGTTTTGACCTTGAGGTCAATTTTGAAGGTTACTTCAAGGTCACGATGGTTTTTTCTAATGGGACACCCTATTTTTGACTGCGGATTTCGAAAGAGCGGAAAATTTTACATCAAACTTGTCTTATGAAAAAATTGTTTTTGCGACCTTGGAAAGGTAAAAAATGAAGGTGAAATGTCTGAAAAACGATCTGGTGTACTTTTTCTGAAATGACGTGGTTTTCTGGGTAACACAAATGTGCATAATGCTTAAACAAAGTCAATGAATTGTAAAAGTGTAAATCACTTTAACTAGCTTGACCTTGAGGTCAATTTTCAAGGTTGTTTGAGGCTCATAACGCATTTTTTGATCAGTAAACCCTATTTTTGACCGCAGAACCTGTTTCTTGACAATGGGCTCTTAAACAATGGCACTTTTTACATGAGCATAGGGATTTTTTAGTTTTTCGACCTGACCTTTTGAAGGTCATATCAAGGTCATATCAAGGATAAATGGAAATCCATTTCTACTACGGGAGAAGCGGACGTAAGGTATCCGATACCTAATGCTAATAATCAACGATTGAAAAAAACTAAACAATTACGTTTGATTTAAGATTTATAATTATTGTTATAATAATAGAGTTTTATTCCTTTTCTTTCTTACTCACTTCTGCATAATTGAAAAATTTACTATTTAAAGTTGCTTAAATTTAAAAATTCCAAACATACATACAGGGTATGTAGGTAATTACATTCACAAGTTACCTTTCCAGAATGGCTGATTATAGTCCTAATGAGATTGTTGATATTATATTAGTTTTAGGGGAGTGTCATAGCAATTACAATGCAGCATCAAGGCTTTACGCTCAACGTTTTCCTGAAAGGCGACATCCAACTGATATGACAATACGTAGTTTAGTCCAAAGAGCTCGCAATGGACATCTTGTTCGTCAACGTCAACATTATGAATATGACGAAAATT